TATAGTTTAAACAACAGCGATTTCAAGTTATATGCAATCCGACACAATATTCATGTGAAGGTTTTGGGTGGTTTCTGAATTCGGAAGAACAGTTCTAGAAGTTTAGACACGCGCCTTTCCCAGTTAATCCAGGAAGAAAGCAATTTATCTGGGTAAGAAACGGTTCTTTCATTAGTTAGATAATACAAATAATTACCTAAGCAATATTACACTGTTCTACCACCTAATTAACACAATGTGTTTCCGATTCTGGAAGAACGTTTCCATATAGGTCCAAAATTGCACCATTCCAGTCCAGATTCAAGTTTCATCGCCCAAGGTGTCAAATGCTATATGGCTGACGCCATAATTAAGGTATCAATTTAAACAACATAATACAGTTCAGCAGAAAACATAGAAACTCCAATAAACGTAGAAAAAAAGAAACATCACAAAATGGTATTAAACAGACTACCAAAATGTAGGCACAGAAAGAGTCAGTAAGAACATATTACAAATATGTACATGGAAGGGATTCTCTCAAAACTAAACTTTCAAATTAGATTCTACAATTTATACTCGTTGAAAGTGGGTATGCAGTTGTGTAGTAGAAGGATTCTAGACGAGAGTGTGTACTTATATTATTTTAGTAAAACAATCATTTTCAGAATTGGACATTGACTGCTCATGCTGTTTTTCTAGCTGTAAATGTTATTAGGCCAATAAATAAAAATTATACTTAAATATTATGATGTATGTTACATATAAAATGTTTTTTTCTCTTCACATCGTTCAATAATAACTAAGAAGAAAGGGTGAAGAACCGGTCCCATCAAACAGATTGAATCATTCGGAATGAAAAGTTTTTTCTTTTCTATAGAAATAACAATAATGATAATCATCATCATCATCTGTACATCTAGGCTAGACTTGTTCTAATTTTGACAACAACAACACTACCATCACCAACAACGATAACCACCACAAAAGAAAAAAAAGTACGCCTAATTAATCATCATTATCATCAAAAATTCGTGATATTCATTTTTGTCCGAAACACACACACATTTATATATATAGAGAACTTCACTTTTGCACTACTACTATTACTACTACTGTTAGAGATGTTGATTATTCCAGTATTATTATTATTGAGGTAGGTAAGTAGACTGAATAGATGATGAAACTTTTCCTTGTTTCGCCTCAACACACACACACACATATACATGTGTGTGTACCGAACAGTGTGTGTAACATGGAATGTCAAGAATGTAATAGTTTAGTTAGCTAGTTAGTTAGTCAGTTATAATTAGGTTTGCTATGAGACCTTTTCTGTCCATTGTATTAATGATCATGATGATGATGATGGTATAATTGGAATTTAACGAGAAAAAGGAAAAGTTCAATATAAGATTTTTATTCAGAAAAAAATGCAGACGAATAAAGAAAAAATAATAATAACGATAATAGTACATGAGAAAGAAAGGATGAATGAATGAAACCCTCCAAGAAATGACAAAAATAAAACAAACAAAATTTAAAAAAAAAAACACAGAAATTGCAAAACTTATCTCTACATGAGATACAATCGAGAAAAAATGCATTCATAGAAAAAAGTACAACATACACACTATTGTGTGTGTGTATGACAGACAGATACACACAGACACACACACACACAAAATGATATTAAAAAACAGGTAGTCTCTCGATTGATTGTATCAAAAAAAGTTTTCTATTTCATATTGTAAAAGAAAAAACGGAGAAAAAGTATCTAATGACTATCCGCCTAAAGAACGACTATCCACGCAACTTCATTTTAAAAAAATATCAACTGAAACCATCAACAGAAGCGAAATTAAGTACAAGAACCAATAAAAACAGATCATTCTACCATACATCATAAAAGACATATTGGTGGAACATACAGCATGACTACTGAAACAGTTTGCAATAGGTGTGGCAGACAAATCAATCAATCAATCAATCTTATGTAGACCAAATGACAAAATGACAAAGGAAGAAAAACCAAATACCATATACAAAATAAACAACTGCTCAGAATGTGAAAAAAAACATTACATAGGCCTCTTCTTTAGCTTCGTTTACGTGAACACCAATCAACAGTGAAACGTCATGACATTTCTTCGCTCATATCAATACACAACGACATTTATGAGTTAGGGTTACATCAATATATACGGACAATTGTGGACATACATTCTATTGGAACAATGTTGAAATACTGAATAGAGGGGGTACAAAAAAAACTGGAGAATTTTCAGAAGCTTAGCACTCAGGTCAGTAGGCAATCAACAAACACATTAAAATTGACCCAATTTATCAACCAATCAGGAAAATCATAGGTGACGTAGGATCAAGAAACAGATCAAAAGTGGGATACAATCAAAACAAAGGTGAAAACAACGACAGGTTTAAGGTCAACATCGGTCAATCAAGATCGAACAAGCTAAGAATCATTTCGTGGAGAAATTCGAATACTTCACTTCTACTATAAGTTTGTGCTGATGATATTGTTGTTCAGAAGAAGAACAATGAAAGCTCCACAACCAAAGCATTCAGCGCAGACAAAGAAACTACATCACAATTTATCCACATGAGCTACAAATTTTCTCCATCATCTCAGTATCAGATAACTCAACAACATTAACCTAGGAAAATCAAAAACAACACCTTTAGGTAGGTATCATTCGTTGAGCATACGCACTAGCAAAGAGTTCTTGCTATACACTAGTAGGATTAAACACAGATATCCAGTGGTCACCGTTCTCAAAATCAGTTTTCTAAGTAATAATCTGTCTCCATGATTTAAACTATACAATTCATCAATATCCATAAATCACTCACTGATGATGCTTAGGGAAAATGTAAAATCCTTTACCTGTTTCGGAAGCGAAACTGATGAGCAAGGTGTATCTGATGCAGGTGTGAAGGCGTAGACTAGCAAAGCAAGGACTGAATTTCTACAATTGAATAACATATCATCTACAAGTCAAAACAATCATCAACCAACACCAAAAGTCAAAATTTTCAATACAAATGTCAGGACAGTTCTACTGAATGGGGCGTTAACTGGAAGAATTACGAATGCCATCCATGCAGAAGATACAAGTGTCCATTGAAAGTGGTCTACGCAAGCTACTTGAGATCGGCTGGGCAGACACTATCTGCGCTGGATGTGAATAGGACACATATTGAGGAAAGCACTCAACTGCGCCACAAAACAAGCCCTCACCAGGAATCATCGAAATCAAAGGAAAAGCGGAAGAGGAAGAAACACACTACGCCGAGAAGCGGAGACAGAAATGAGAAGAATAAATAACAATCGGACAGAACTAGAAAGAAAGGCCTAGGACAGAGTAGGTTGAAGAATGCTGATCGGCTACCTATGCTCCATTGGGGGGTAAACAGGCGTAAATAGGTAAGTACAGTTGTATTTCAAAATATTTCACTGTTTTATAATGTCAATTATTATCAGTGTGATGTGGAGTGAAGTACAGTAAAAAAAAAGCCATGCTGGACTGACTTTTAAAATCACTATACAATTCTCAAATCATCATCAGTGGTGCAATTTCAAGAAATTGCATGTTGGAATCGAACCCCCAAGACTTTTCGTTTCACGTAGGAACGAACGTATAACCTCTTGATCACTGAGTTGGCATCCAACGTCTAACTTCAATTAATCCACAACATCGTCTAAAGTCTTTGATGAGTGACTGTTTTATCATTTCCCTAGGGAAATTAATAGCGTGATACCGAAATGAGTTGGGAAGACAAACTAACCAATACTAGGATTATTACTGAGCATTCGAAAGTAACGATCTTAATTGTAACCGAACTTACATACTAAAATAGTTACATACTGCAGAGCTAATTTGAGCTCATAGAATTATATTTAAGCACGATACTATAAGGTGTTAGTTGAGAGTAATCGAAAAGAAATCTGATATCTAGGTTACATGCTATTTGACGCTTGTCACAAAACGCATACCTTAATCTTAATGGATCTGCTGTTCTCTGGCTAATCCATTCCTGTCTGTGTCACACAGCTTCAAATTCAGCGTCATTGGTGAAGATAAGAGAATTGTTAGGAGGTTGCAGGGAGGATTTGATTGTGCTTTTACAGGTACGAGGGTGGTTGTCACTTCCCGGGTGCACACACCGTTGAAGGGTAATACTTGAGGAACCTGAAAAAGAAATCAGGTTAGCGTTTCTCTGAGCGACTTATGAGCGAGAGCGCAGAGCCTAACGAGCAACTGTTTCAGGCCGGCCACGCACGGTCTTTTTACGGGACATTTAGGGACTCGGACTCAGTATGGTGGACAGTACTCACAAGATGAAGTTTATGAGTAGTATACAAAGAGGAGAGTAGCCTAAATATCCCCACTATAGAGAAGTTTCAGGGGATCGAAGTGTACGTACGACATATGATCAGTGTTTTGAAGACAAGAATAAAAGTGATCGAAGACATACAGTCAATAATAACCTAATTGGATTACTACTGAATGTGAAAATATATTATTGAAGACTAAGTGTTAGTAATTTTTGTATAAAAATTTGTGTATACTCTAACTATACAGTCAGTCAGGCAATCATCCATAACGTAGAACTTCGTACGTACGTATGTACATCAATTCTATTTGCCATACCACAGTAGCCTAAAGATGCAATAGTCGACTCAAATGCTATAATGGTAGAAGTATGCTCAGTAATCGGAATACATAGTGATAGTAAACTTCTATGTGTAAATCACCCACCAACCAACCAATATCACCTTTTCATTTTAAAACATCAACATCAACACACACACACACATCATCGACTTTTAGCAGGCATTAATAGTCAATCATGTAAACCCTTATGAAAAAATGATACATACATAGGCAGAAAACTAAATTTGTAATAAAACTGTAATTCATCTGTAAAACATTATTCATAATAATAATAATATTAAGTAATAAGTAATATTGTACAACACTGGTATTGCGTAATAATAGTAATAATAATAATAATAATAAATAACAATAGATTCATTCAAACAAGAAAAAAAATTGTAGAAATTAAAATTCGAAAGCAAATTAGTTCATATAATATGCCAGTAATAATAATAATATTTATAATAATAATAATAACAGAACTAAGAACAGCAGTAAAGGCAGCAGGAAATGAGAGATAACAAGTAAATAACTATTTTTACTACACTGCACTGCACTTCATCATACACACACGTACACACACACATACACCGAGGAACCATCCGCGACACACATGAATGAGGAAAAAATGCAACCGAAACCTACCGAAATAAATGCACTCAACTTGAAGAAATAAGAAAATATAACAGAAGCGTACAGCACAGAGATGCTGTAGTCAGTCACTTTATTTAAATGCATAATAATCCACCATTGTTGATCGACTTGGATGGCAGGCACAATGTGATTGATGATGAATGAGTAAATTCTTCTGAATTTTTATTGATTACGAAATAAATGTTCAAAATAATTCTGTTCTTTTTTTTCTTCAAAACAAAACAAAACATGAAAGACGAAAGAACCAAAGAACTAAAGAACAAAAAAAAAGTGTGTGTGTTTGATTATTTTGTAAATTAAAGAAATTGCACTTTGTTGCACTTTTTTGTTGTCTTCATTTATTGTACATTGAACAATAGAAAAAAACAGAAAAAGACCAGTTTCTTTTTTTGTGGGAAATTCGAAAGGATAAAATAAAGAAAAAAAGGAGAAAACATTTCGTGTGTAGCCCCTCACAAGGTGTGATTGACTATAAAAGAAAACAGTGTCAGCATCATCAATGTATTCGATAAAAAAAGTTAAATATTGAGGTAATATATTTTGCCGGTTGAATTGTCCGCTTTCGCAATTGTTTAAATTATATCATAGAATATGATCAATATTCAATTCATTCTTTTTTTGGTATTATTTTACAAAATATCATATAGAATTCGAAATAAAGTTTAAAAAAACCACACACACACGCGCACACACACACACAGAGAAAAAGAATGAGAAGACTGTATTTTGGATAGGATAACTTTTTGATAAATCAATCAATCAATTAAAAGCTTGTGAATAACACAAATCCCCGATGGATGACTCAATATACAACAAACGAACGCCGTTTTTTTCGGTATTTATTCATAATAATGATAATAGTATTGTTTACGCAATAGATTCGGTGATACAATACTATTGATGGTGGAAGAGCTTTGATTGTTGACATTTGAATGATGCATGATTGGACTTCTGATTGATGTATTGAAAAATATTCTACGATTATTATTATTAGTAGTAGTATTTGTAGTAATAGTACTAGTAGCGCAAGTAGTAGTACTTGTAGTAGTACTACAAGTACCACTACTATTCGCATTACTACTGTATGGAGGATTTAAACGAACAGGTGAGGCGAAACGTACTTGATGTGTCAGATTTTTTTGTGGTACATTTAATAAACTACTACTTGGTCGAATATTTCCATGATTCGTATTCAGCAATGAACGATTGGTAGTCGATGGACTTGTTGGATGTGACAATAATTCATTGAAACGAATTTTTTCCAATGGATAATTCGTTGAAGGTGATGATTGTAAGTGAGATGATGTCGGCGGCGGTTGACGATAATAATTAGGTATTTCAATAAGATTTGGCTTTTTAACAAAATTCTGATTAGCCATTGATGTTGTTGTATGTGTCATTGAATTTAGATTATTAGCTAAATGACATGGTGTAAATGAAGTGGAATTATTTATGTGAATACAAGAGATATTACTATGAGTTGTAGTAGTAGTAGTAGTAGTAGCAATCGGACTAGAATTGAGCAATGATGAATCTTCTCCAGGAGAAGATGCTTGTATCTGTGGAAATATTGAATGATTTAAAGCAGATGGTGATGACAATGTAGAATTCGAGCAACTTTTCAATTCATTTGATGTTTGATAACGAACTGAAGAATAACACTGTTCAGTAGGAATGATTAACATTTTAGATGATTGACTAGTTATACTACTATTATCAGTAGTAGTATTTGTTGTTGAATTTTTTTGATCGCCTATGGAATGTTTCATAGTGTAATGATGTTTTCTACCCGATAAATTTTCTGATAATGTTGAATCCGGTTCTAAACTTGATGCTTCCGATGATTGAGAATGCAAAGAATTGGAATTGGAAACACCTTCATAACTACCGCTATAATCGAGGTCTTGATTGGCAATTGACGATGATGAAGCAGTAGTAGAACGTATTGTCTGTGTGAAAATGAGGAAAAAAACAGAATTATGCATAGAATTGGTACTTCGTACTATTTCATTTAGTTTATTCAAACAAAATTGAATTGAACAATGAACACAGTTTAATTGAATATTGAAAAATATGCTAACAAGTTCAGGAGCAGAAAAAACAATCGAACAAGACAGTAATATGAACTATACACAATCATTGCATACTACTAACAACCCGAAATGAGTAGTTGGTTTGTTTATTTTTAGCAGAAGATGATTTAAACACAAAAATACAAGGATGAATGCAATTCTTATTGATTAATAGGGAATGGATATGCTCAGGTGAAATTTAGATAAATACAAATGATGTGATCAGTCAGTCGAAATCAGATAATGATTAAGGCAGGATCGATTGACTAGTGTGCGAGAGTGAATTGATGGTTTAAGTTAGTCCATAACCCCTGTGTATCAGTAGAAAACCAAACATGATAAGAAATTTACGGTTACAAGAACTATGTACTAGTAACAAAGAGTATATTGTAGCAAGTGGTTGGATAATAAAACTAAACTAAAGAATATTACCATAGAATTCAGTGTCGGCAACTACGCTTTGTGAACTCGAAACGTTTTCATCAGCAGCAGATGGAAAAGATATTGGATTAGTATTGATCTTACCGACCTAGCAGCGTGACCGCAGAGACCAAGGGACAACTTGGTGGGACACAGACGGCCTTTTTATGCAAAGATTGTAACGGTAGCTTCGCTTTTTAAGTGGCCTTACCGACGGAGACCAAAATACATGAGGTAAGGTGAAGTGTGAATTTCGAGTCGACCTTCTATAATCTCTTCCCTGCTTCTGAGGAGGTCGCATCGCTGCAGATGCTGTTCGTCCAAAGGAAATACTTCAATACTGTCACACCCCTCTACAAGAGCCTGACCAGCACTTTAGCACAGCAGCTACGGTCAAAAGGTGCATCCTCTCTTTGTCTTCTCTCAAATCCTAATTTTCTGAATTGGTTATCACCTCTATCTTTCTTTTTTAAAATTTATTTCACTGAATTATACTTCTTGGATAATTTCTTCGAACCTCAATTTTCTCCAATTCCGCTGATACTTCTACTGTCTGTACTACTATGGGATTTGAATTGACGATTCGATTTTGGTGTTCTAATGTGGTACTGCAACTTGAACTGATATGTGTACGTACAAAGTCCTACGTCGTAGCTGACTGACTGAACTACTGGTTCTAGTTATCACGAGAACCCAACCAGGTAGTGTACACTAACTAACATGGCGAAATCCAACTGTGAATGATTTCATGCAATGATGCCATGTTTTGATTCAGCCGCTCCTACCTCTCTTCCTGCCTACCCCTACACCACAAAACATAGCTCGTCAAGGTAGTAGTCGGTGGTGGCTTGAGCATTCGTAATACACATACCAAACACCGCATGATATATATATACATGAGAAATACAGTTTAATTGAACAACAAACTTACTTTCTTATTAGATGTTTGAGTATTAGTAACAGTAGGAGTAGTAGTAGTAGTAGCAGTACTTGGTGCTGCAGTTGATTTATTCTGTACATTTTGGTTGTTATTGTTATTGTATTTCTTTCTCGGTACCATTGCATTAGAACGATTTAACAATGATGATTGTTTCACACGTTTATTAGTCGACTCATTAACAGCACCATCCATGACTGATTGCCGTTGCTGGTGTTGTTGTGATTGCTTTTGTTCGCCGGTTGACGTAGCAAATGTCTTCTTGTTTATTCTACTAGGCAGCGTACATTTTGGTTTAGTTAAACAAGATTTCTCCTTAAACTGTTGTTGTTGTTGTTGTTGCCGATGATGACTAACAGTGTTTGATTTAGTTGCAATGGAACTCACTGAAGAGCATACAGTTGTTGATACTACTGACGTCATCGTCGTCGCCGCCGCCGCCGCCGCCACTGTCATCATGTTTGTCGATGTTAGAGGGACTGTTGTTGAAGTACTAGTACTAGTATTATTATCATTGCTCGTCTCATTTTTCATCAAAGCATGCTGATCAATAACACATAATGGATAGTAATGTGTTAATTGACATGTAGTTGTTGTCGCTACCACTGTACAACTATTGACACATTGAAATTCATTATTCGGTGATAAATGACGCAATAACATTTGACTATCATCTAAAATTTCTGATTTTTCTGTCATAAAACTAAGATTTTTCGGTCGATTATTATTGTTATGATTATTTGTGTTATTTGTGTTATTATTTGTGGAATCATTTGACATGATTGTATGATCATTGAATTTGGAAGAGATATTATTCACAACTGTAAACAGAAGGGAGAATGAATGAATTTCAATCAATTGAATATTGAAATGTTTAAAAATAGATTTACATACATAATTTATCATCAAATATTAAAGGCAGCCACGAATCGACATGACAGATTGTGTGGTTGTTAGATGATTGTGGTGGTGTTTCATTCTCTGAGCTGGTTGTTTTGGTTGTGGAGCTTTCATTGTTCTTCTGAACAACATCATCAGCACAAACTTCAGATAGAAGTGAAGCATTCGAATTTCTTGTTAGATGATTAATGGTAGACTCAGTCAGTGTTTACTACAGTTTTTGTAATAGTCCAATAGAACTATATTTTGAAAATACTTATGTTCCTTTAAGTGTCAGTGACGTATTTCCTACAACAGACGAACAGGAGCTATCTGTAGCGGCGTTGTTAATATACAACACGGATTGTCCTGAATGGAAGGTAGTTTAGCGTTTGTCTTAGAGACATGAGAGCGTGACGCAGAGTCCAGTGGGCGAATGTTTCATGCCGGTCATGCACGGCCTTTTAATGATAAGGTTTTAAAATGTTATCCCTATTCTTGTTTAAAAAGCCTTACCACCGGAGACGGAAATCCATGAGGTAGGGTGAAGTGTGACATTTTTAGGGCCGACCTTTTCTAACCCTTCCATCCTTGTTAGAAGGCAGCATCGCTGCAGATGCTGGCTGTCCGAGGGAAACACCTTACCACTGTCACACCTCTCAACAGTCAGCAGTACGACTTCGCCCTCAGACCTTGAGTAGCTGTTTTTAGTCTCATCGTTCTCCAATCGACCTGCCTGGCATGGTAGAACCTTCAGGAACATACGTTCCAGCCAATAGAGCTTGGTTGGTTCATCACAATAGGCAAGCCCGACCACCACTTATTTATTACATGTCTAGCCTATTTTACCTGATTAGAAATAGTTATTCATATGTCTCATCACATTGAATCGGCTCACTCGCCTTCTCCGTTTAGCTTAATAACTATGCTTGTACGATTTGTTTAGATGAATGTATGAAATAAATTCATCCGTAACACCGTACGTCGCAGGCTTTTAACCAACGCCATCGCACAATCAGGTTGTACTACACATGAAAGATGTACAGGAATGAAAGGGAAGATTTATTTCATCACATTTATCATCATTCGTCTAACCCTGGAGTGAGATCGCAAGCGATTAAACTTGTTTTAAAAATTTCCAATGTCACGTAAACAGCATAAACAAACAAAATCAACAGCAAAACGGTCAAGGTGTTGACCAGACCCAAAATAAACTTGTCACTTGAGCATTGTGCTGCCACGGCTCCAAGTTGTGACAATCATCTCCAATTCAGTTTTTTTCTTCACATGTTTCTGAGTACTGACACTTATTTATATACCGGGTACTGATTTGTATGAAAGCTGATATATATTCAAGCCGACCGATCAAGCTAAAGTAGGTATAGCATGGTTTGAACCTGTAAGTTAGTGGCTGAAATTTGAACTAATAAAGGTTTTTTAGATACCTAACCAAAGAGTATCACTTCACGGCATGAGCGACTGGGGAGTAAAAAATGACCTTCTCTATATGTCACTAAAAGCACTCGAATCAAATCCATTTAAGTGCACGAGCGACTATCTACTGGAAACCAGACTAGGGGAGCTAGTTTTATGTCAAAGAGATGAAATACTATATTATAAGGTCCAACGGTGAAACAGTTTGATCAATAATAAGAAAAGAGGCTACTTAGAAGTAGTACTGTTTACAGTGCAAAACGGGGAACAACCCTCACGCACTAAGTAAGCAGATGGACAATATCTCAGCCAACAACACACAAATTCATTGATTTGTGTAGAGTATAAAACTTTATAGGTGGTTCTTCGTCATTACAGCATTGTGGAGTTCTTGACTACTGAGTTGGCACATTCAACAAACTTGTTGACCAATGTCAGTCAATCCACGATAGTGCATAAGCTTATTCATTGTCGCCTTAGGTAATGGGTTTGGATTCCTCCTACATACGGAGGCTGCCGATGAGCACTATCGATGAGTCTCATAGACTAGGACAAGACAGCCATACAGTACTGGTAAATCTAACTATGGTCAGTTTATGATTTGAATGAAATTGACTTACGTTTATTTTCATCAGTAATTTTAATAGTAGGATTAGCTATCGGTTTACTGGTAACATACGGAATCGGTGGTAATAATCGAGGTGGCGGAGGAGGTGAACAACAGCCACAACAACAATACATTGCCGGTACATTGGAATGTGCTAGTAAATGTGTGGTGCCATTGTCAAGCGGCGGTGTAGTTGTAGTTGTTGTTGTTGTAGTTGATATTGTTCTCAGTGCAGAACGACGTCGACCATAATTCGGTGAACAGTATGGATTAGTCGATGGTATCATCGTCATCATCATCATCATCGTTGAAACATTAGGTGTGGTAGACGATAATCGACTGGAATCTTTTGTGATTGGATTCATATAGGCTGGATGTTCTTTAGAATGATGATGATGATGATGTGTTGATGATGTGAATGGTTCATGTAATAATAATGGATATTGTATACAATGACATGTTTCTTCTTCTGTTTCTGCTTCTAGACGAGATGAAGTTGTAGAAGCATTTCTTGGTTGTGATATACGATCCAAGGAAACAGTACGTGGATCCATAGACGAACTGACTAAATGGGGATGTAGAGAACGTTTAATGGAATGCAACATCGGGGTTCGTTGCTGAAATGATGATAGAATTTTTGAGAGAGAAAACAATATATGCATAGATTTGAATAAATTAATTCGCAATAATTATATATCATAAAAATAATGATAAAATAATGAGATTGACCAATGAGCTGGCAGACTGTTTTTTATCATATACGATGAACTGGTTTGACTTACAAGCTTTCTTTTGAGGCACAGTTTTGGAGGTTTGCGTTTTTACACATTTGAAATCATCAATCAATCATTGTTCGACCACCTTTAGAAACCTGGAAGCACTAGACGGCCGTTTCGTCCTGGTATGAGACACATCAGCAGTGCGTATTCACGACTCCTGCTCCTCGCAGGATTCAAACCCGGGACCTTTGGCATTGTAGGCAAACGCCTTACCATCGGACCAGGTTTCTAATGGTGGTCTAACAATGATTGATTGATCATTTCAAATGTGTAAAAACGCAAACCTCCAAAACTGTGCCCCAAAATATCGTAACAGTGCTCACTAGTGACTAGCTTCGTGAGGAAATTCTCGGAGTTCTAGTCGAGAAGATGTGACCAATGGAGTTCAACCCGGTCGGGTGTAGGCAGTAACTACCAAAGACAAATGGGTGAGGTCGCGCAAAATCCCTAGATCAATTAGAGTTAGACATTAACAACGTTGTATGCCGGTCCAGTGGTCCGATGGTAAGGCGTTCGCCTACAATGTCAAAGGTCCCGGGTTCGAATCCTGCGAGGAGCAGGAGTCGTGGATGCGCACTGCTGATGTGTCCCATACCAGGACGAAACGGCCGTCCAGTGCTTCCAGGTTTCTAAAGGTGGTCTAACAATGATTGACTGATGATTACAAGCTTTCGATAGAAAATTGAGAGGCTTGATCGATAGAATTTGATTAGCCGTAAAAAAGACCTGACACATATGATATTGATTACTTCTCAGTGATCAATGGATTGTTAATACATCACGGTCATACAGGAAGCGGCCCAGATAGAGTTCAGGGGCTATGTCACACTGACTGTGCAGTTGGGTGATATAGGATTGAATCTGCCAGAGAGCATCAGCTCCCTAAATAGTGCCTTGCAGATAGATGAATGACAAATAGTATGAAATCTAGGTCAAGTAGGGTCTGCTGTCCAGTACCTCTTAACCACAAACTTGAAACAAACCATTACAAATTTTATTTTGATTTTGATTTCAAATAATTTTCCATTTGCGAAGAAAATGAACAGTTTAAGGGGTCGATCTAAGTCAGTTTCATCGTGACGCCTGCATCAAATCTCTTGATTACCAGTGAATATCAAATATCATATACATGCTTGGATGAGTTATTCATTTCGTTGAGATTTCTGGAGAAATCAATATGCCTTTTTTTCTCATTTATATGTGGTCATTAGTGCTGTGAAGCATCATGATGTGGGGTTAAATAGGGTAATAATAGGCAAGGATGACAGATCAATTGATGAAGTATTGAAATTTCATGTGGTTGGGACATCATGCATTGCGAACCGTTTCGTCATCGTATGGGACTCATCAACAGTCCGCATCCACGATCCCTGCTACTGGCAGGATTAGAATATCTTCTAATCCTAACCTCTCCGATTACTTCTAGTACCTTTACTACCTCTTCTACTATTGGATTTGAATTGACAATTACATCTCTGTGCTGATGTGGTATGGCGACATGAACTGATGTACTTACGTACGAAGTTCTACGTTGCATCTGACTGACTGACTGACTCACAGGATTATAACCCAGGACCTTCTGTCTAGTGCGAGAATGCCTAACCTCTGGACCATTGAGCCGGCATTCAACGGCGTTAATGTCTAACTCTGATCAATAAAAAGGATTTTGCGCAACCTCACTCATTTGTCATCGGTATTTACAGCCTACACCCGACAGGGTTGAACTCCATTAGTCACGTCTTCTCATTAGGACTCCGTGGAATTTCCTCACAAAGCAAGTCACTAGTGAGCAGCACAACGTACAATTTTATTCATCATAGAGTTATGAAGATCAGTGTTTTTAAACACATTAAAATCATCAATCAATCAAATTGAAAAATAATGACAATTTCATTTTCTAAGTCATCACATGGTAGTAGTGTTGTAGTGAAGTAGAACACAGGTGGGGCAACCGAATTACAGAGTTACTCAGTAAAATTGGAAAACCATATCGTAAATCGTTCATTTGTAAAATATCAGTTCATCATATCGAACTGGACTGTTCCTGTTGCGAAACATCAATCCATTATCACTGTTCATGCGTTTCATACAAATTCCATTGTGCTCCCCCCACTCTTCCTTTCTTGATCTTCCCCCATCTTCTGCTGCCAGACATTACGTTGACGCTCACGTCATATACTACTTATAAGTAGCTCGTACCACAGTGTCAGTAGTGAACTATCGAATACTTCTAGAATGATGACAATCAATGTGATAATCATGACAAAGAGAGATATGTTGAGCTAGATTGAAGAGAAGAAACATGACAATAATCAACCATAATATATATATAAATATACATACCTCCATTTTTTCCGGTTGCAGTGTTTGTTTTACACGTGGACCATAGAAACGTGTAGGCATAATAATATTAGGCTGTGTCATTCGTCTAGTGATATTTTGTACAGTACATGGATGATGAGTTCTACAACTTGACATATTTGTTGGCATAACAGGTAAACTGCCAGGATTAGCTGGCATATAATGAAAACACGGATGATCAGTGGTTAATCCAAACGGTGAAGAGGATGTTGAAGAAGAGGAAGAATTCGGAGGTATTTTGAAACGATGAAGATCAACACCAGCACCCGCACTACCGACGCCACCACCACTCCCGCCAACACCATGAACAGGAGGAGCAGATAATGGTGAATAGATTTGTAATTGATAGTCTAATTCACATTGACGTTGATGTGATAAAATCATGGATTCTACTAAATGACTTAATTGTTGTACATGCCATTCAAGCTAAATGAAAAGAATAAAGAAGCTTAAAAATTCCTACACTTTTGAGATAGATACTTTTAATTGTCGCAATAGGTTATGATGAGTCGGTATTGAAGGACACACGGCTGAAGTAATTAGCATTCAATGTATTAAAGCGAATTGTTCGCGATAGCCAGTCATGAAACACAAGTTTAGATGCTGTTTTGTGTGATGCTCCACTGGTTTGGAATCATCATGGTTATCTAAAAAGTGCCCTACGTTGAATTGGTCATTAAGAGTGGAATACCGAACCGGCAATTAGCATACTGACTATTAAAATATGTGGTATTCTTGCATGTTATTGATTTCTACTCCCGACTACTTGTAATTGTGTCAAATAAAATTATTGTTTATCGCTTATTTTGATTCACTAAATTCCGTCGTGAAAGGCGAATCCGATTTCATGTGACCTAGACTGATGGGTGAATATCCCTTGTCAGTCAGTCAGTCAGCTGCAACGTAGAACTTCGTACGTAAGTACATCAGTTTAGGTTGCCATACCATATTAGCACAGAGACGTAATTGTCAATTCAAATCCCATAGTGGTAGAGATAGTAGAAGAATTACTGATAATAGAGAAGATTAGGATTTGAAGATAATATTCAAGAGAGATAAGTTTAGAAAGACAGAGGTAGAGGTCTTGACGAATTCAGAAGAATAGGATTTGAGAGAACACAAGGAGTGGATGCACTGGCGCCATCGCATTCAAGGTCTCTAACCATTGGTGACTTTCATCTTGAGGACCCCAACCAGGTAGCCTACTTCTACCAACATGACTCAACCCAATTGTCAATGATTTCATGGATTTCTGCCATGTTTTGGTCTGGCCACCCCTAACTTTCTTCCAACCTACTCCTACACTACAAAACAAAGCTCGACGAGGCAGTCGGTGGTTAGGCATACGCAGCACATGTCCCAACCACCTCAGGTGATGAAGTTTCAATACTTCATCTATTGATCTGCCATTCTTACCTAGCACCCGTCTCCTAATAACAGCGTTGCTCACTCGGGTGTCCCACGATATACGAGCAATGCTTCGAAGACACCTATGATTGAAAACTAGTAACCTACGAATATCTTCTACTGTGACTGGCCATGATTCACAGCCATAAAGTAAGACGGAGCGAACTACTGCGCAGTACACTCGTCCTTTGATTAGCAAACGGATAACTCGCCTATGCCATAAATGAAGCAAGTTGGCAAAAGCCAACGAGCTTTCTTTATCCGTGCTGAGAATTCGTCAGTCACCAGGCTATCAGTGCTGATAAGACTCCCGAGATAAGTGAAGCGGTCTACACGCCCAACTACTTTACTCCCTATAGAATTTCGTATGTACGTACGAATATCAGTTCAAGTTGCCATACCACGTTATCGCACAGAGAATTATCAATTCGAACCCCATAGTGGCAGTGGTAGTAGAAGTATTTTGCAGTAATCGGAGAGATTAAGATTCGAAGATATGATTCTAGAAGTATAATTCAGTGAGATAACTTTAGAAGGCGAAAGATACAGGTGATGAGGAATTTAGAAGATTAGAATTTGAGAGAAGGCAAACAATGGATACATTGCGAACAATTATGAGTTATGATGGATGACATTCAAAGTCTTCAGTCATCATCGGTTACACTGTTGTTTCGCCGACCTCAACCAGGTAGGTAGTAGTCTGCACTCAGACTCAGTTCAATTGTCAATGAGTTCGTTTTGATGTGTGTAATACGGTGGGAAGAAAAGTACAGTGATGTACAGATTTTAAACATACAGTAAATATATATAAAAGTGTTTATTAACAGTTGTTTACGCAAAATACTTCGGATTCGTTGGCCAAACACCATCAGCAACAACCTACTGTGAGAGAGGATAAACCAGTTTTCTCCAGCTGAGAAAGACATTAGGAAAAATTGCTGGAAGTGGATAGGACACAAATTGCGGAAAGCAACTAACTGCGTCACAAGACAAGCCCTCACATGGAACCCTCAAGGTGAAAGGAAAAGATGAAGGCCAAGGAACACATTACGCCGAGAAATAGAGAGAGATATAAGAATGAACAAAAATTGGACAGAGTTGGAAAGGGAAGCCCAGGACAGAGTTGGTTGAAGAAAACTGGCGGGCGGCCTATGCTCCATCGGGGGTAACAGGCGTAAGTATAAAAGTAATTGTTTTTCTGCCCCTGCCCCTATTATCTATCTACCTACCTCATCGACATATTGAAGTCGTACATTGATATCCAAAAGACGTTGTTTTAATTGTTGATTTTCTTTTAACAGATTTAAAAATTCCATTTGTGTAACATTCGAATGAATCATTGATTCTGGTTTATTTGTCAATGAAGGCAATAATTCCATATCGGTGATAAATTGTCCATTCATGGCATTATTATTATTACTATTATTATTATTGTTCACAGGTAATTCAGATTGTTGATGATGCTGATGATGATGATGATGACGATAACGATTGTATTCATAGGCTAAAGAAGAATAACTATGAGATGTAGGCACAGTAGTTGTAGTAGTAGTAGTATTAGTAGTAGTAGTAGTGGTTGCGGTTAAAACAAAACCAGTTGCTGTTGTACAACATGCAACAATTGGTAAATGATTATGAAAACTGATCGATGTGGTTGGTGGTAGACGAGGTGCCATGTAAAAACCATGATAACACCAACGAATTGGGAAACTGGGGGGTTGTGACGAGATCGATGTGAATGGTGGGATAACTAGGTAAGAGAAAAAGTATACAGAAAAAAAAACATAGTACACTACAGTACAGTATTGAATGCTTAAATAAATCAATATGGATACGGCTGATGATGATGGTTTCATTTTAGAATGCAATTTGATCGCTAATGGTGAATTAAATGAGCAAAAAATGGAATTTCATATCATCAGCTACGATTAGCCAGCCACCTTCAAAAATAACAATGTGAATTCAAAACTTTCACCTTGTTTATGCACAATACTACGCTGTGTTCGATTCTCGTTTGCAGGGTCATGGATGCACACTGTTGATGAGTCGCATAGCAGAATGAAACGGATTATTACTACGGTTTCCAGGTTTCCAACAATGATCTAAGATTAATCGATTCATGATTCATCAAGAAATAACTCAACAATCTCCACAACCCCATAATCCATACATATATACATACATAGCATCAGGTTGCGACTTTTTCGTCAGCCAAACTACTACTATTACTAACTACCCTAAGCCCAATCATCAATGAGGTGAAATTTTTTTAAACTATAACAATAATATCATAAGAAAGATCAGTTTCTTCTGGCTGTATACTTGTTAGTGGGACATAGATGGAATTAAAGCATGACTGCATCAGCTGAGCGCTGATTGGCTAATTTCCTACCCAATCAGCGCCTGATCGAATCTTGGAGAACAGGGTAGAACATTCTCGTATTGTTAGCTGCGTGCTGATTGGCTAAATCTAATACAGTCGATCACGTGAATTTCTATCCAGAAGCTTCTCATGTAAATGCTATAAATAAACTAACGTTGTAACTATTCTTGGCCTTCGCCTTCGCCATCACCTTTGGCTTCTTATTTCCATCTAACCTTGCTATTTGGAATACAATCTTTTCCTGTTTACGTGTTTTTTGATTCTTGGGAACTTGTCCAGTGTATTGTGGTCAGAGAATACTAAGCAATAGGATTTAGCCGGAAAATATGTTTAAGCAAACGTTACAACAATACTAAATTCAAATACAACTCTACACACACAAAGTACATAGATAATTAATCCACTACAAATATATTGATAAATGATTACATTGAAAAATATAGCGAAATGATCAGCCTAAAACCACAAAGAGGAATCTAAATATGTTACGCACGCACGTAAACATGTCATTTGATAGGCTTGAACCATTATTACGAGTTTACCTTAGCCGGAAAACAAGAGCGAGGATCGACGATCCGGCAGCACGACATGTTACTTTAATCCGAATGTATCCCAACCCCTATTTTGAGTAAGAGAATACAAGACTTGATATGAACTAGAACATGTATTCTACAAGCATCCAGAAAGTTCGAGGTCCGAGTCCAAAGGAAGATACGGATCACGGACTAAGGATCCAGTTCATAAAACGTTACAGATAATGCATATTTATACTTCTAGGTCGAATAGGAAACAGCATCGAAGTCTGTGACATTGACAGGTACGGCGACCAATGAGAAAAATATTTGAAGTGACACTGATAGTCAAGACGGCCAATAAGAAACAGCATTGAAGTACGTGACATTGATAGATAGGACGACCATAATATTGACCAATAGGAATCGACCAATAGAATTTACTCTTACAAAATGATACTTCGTAAGATATTTGGTGAATATCTTAACAAAATATATATACACAACATATATTAATGAATTTGTGTGAGAACTACGATACTAACTGACTGCCAAGAACAAGAGAGTTAGTTCACTTAGCAGGTCACTATTCCAACCTTCGACTTACAGGTCTCGTCCTCAAGTCAGTCGAGCAACGTCAGTCAAAAACAATAGGTTCATACGTCACAAGATGATCATGAAAAAAAAGTAACACATCAATTCATCAAATCAATTACTTACAATCAGTTTTTATCATTTTCGATAATTCCTCTTTATTCATTGGATATGGAACACGATGTTTAGACAAAATATCACCTGGATAAGGCATAGATAATGATTCTGACAAGCAATTATTATGGCTTGGAATTTTGGAATTTTCACTGAATGGCCATAGTGTTGACTGAGGCAAATTACTAGAATATTTCATATCATATTGCTGTTGTTGTTGTTGATGAGTAGTAGTAGTAGTAGTAAGTGGGAATAATTTGTCGTGAAAAAATTGAGGAGGCTGAGGAGCAGGTTGCTGCTGCTGCTGATGATGATGATGTTGATGTTGATGATGAAAAGGTAACTGTGCATATGGCGATAAATGGTAATTTGGTGGGAACCAAGAATGAGCTGTGAAACATGACGACTCATCCGTTGGTTGAAGGTGATCAGGAATTCGATATGGAGGAGGCGGAGGCGGTGGCGGTTGGATTGTACCTTGTGAATTCAGATTGTCAGTTTCAGGAATCAGTTGATTAGCTAAATGAAACGACAAGAAAAAAAAACAACGATAACAACGAAAAATAGTACAAAATCAAAGCAAGTGGATTTGAAAACTAATTGTGTTAAAATCAGGACCACCAATAAAAAGAAGAATAATAGTAGCTTCATGGTGTTATTTTTTTGGTGTGGGGGTAGGTTGGAAGAAAGCTGTGAGGGTGGCCAAACCAAAACATGGGCACAAATCGATGTAGTCACTGAAAAGTCGACTGAGTCATATTGGTAGGAGAAGACTACCTGGTTAGGGTCCGAGAGACAATAGTAACCGATGGTTAGAGACCTTGAATGACGGCTGAAAATAGCTTACAATGGAGCAGGTGCACCCATTCTTTGTGTTCTCCTAAATTATAATATAAACTACTCATGACCTTCATCATCTTTTCTTGTCTCAAATCTATTTCACTGAATTATATTTCTTGAATAATATCTTTGAACCTTAATCTTTCTGATTACTACTCATACTTCTACTATCTCTACTACTATGCAATTTAAAATGACAATTACATCTCTGTTTGTGCTGATGTGGTATGGCAACTTGAACTGATGTACGTAGGTACTCACGTACGAAGTTCTACGTTGTAGTTGACTGACTAATAAATTTCATGGTGTATAGCTTTCTAATCATTTGAAAGTGTTACCTTTTTTATCGTGTAGACGTCATGAGAGCTTATGGCGAACTGTCACCGGAATTCTTTACTTCAAGTGGTGTCCGTCAGGGATGTCCACTTTCTCCATTCTTGTTTAATTTTATCATAGACATGCTCCTAGAAATAACCTTATCCTCGTCTGAATTTTCTGGAGTAGACCTTTTACCAGATGGCTCGCTTATTGACTTAGAATATGCCGATGACATTGTCCTACTTGGGGAGGACGCTGACAAAATGCAGAGTCTTCTGACTACCATAAGCAACAATGCAAGCATGTTCGGGATGCGGTATTCCCCCTCGAAATGCAAAATGTTGCTTCAAGACTGGGTTGCATCGGCACCTGAACTAGTGATACGGAGTGAAGTAGTCGAACGTGTAGACCGCTTCACTTATCTTGGGAGTCTCATCAGTGCTGATGGCCTGGTGACTGACGAAATCTCAGCACGGATAAAGAGAGCTCGATTGGCTTTTGCCAAACTGCGTCACTTATGGCGTAGGCGAGATATCCGTTTGCTGACTAAAGGACGAGTGTACTGCACAGTGGTTCGCTCCGTCTTACTTTATGGCTGTGAAACATGGCCAGTGAGAGTAGAATATATTCTTAGGTTACTGGTTTTCGATCATAGGTGTCTTCGAAGCATTGCTCGTATATCGTGGGACACCCGAGTGAGCAACGCTGTTATTAGGAATCGGGTGTTAGGTAAGAATGGCAGATTAGTCGATGAAGTATTGAAACTTCGTTAGTTGAGGTGGTTGGGACATGTGCTGTGTATGCCTAACCACCGACTGCCTCGTCGAGCCTTGTTTTGTAGTGTAGGAATAGGTTGGAAGAAATTTAGGGCCGGCCAAACCAAAACATGGCACAAATCCATGAAGTCATTGACGAGTGGACTTAGCCATGTCGGTAATTGTCGACTACCTGGTTGGGGTCCGCGAGATGATAATAATCGATGGTTAGAGACCTTGAATGATATGGCTCAAAACCGTTCGCAATGGCGCCGGTGCGTTTATTCTGTGTGTTCTGTCAAATCCTAATCTTCTGGGTTCTTCAACAACTCTAGTTTTGACTTTCTAAACTTTTCTCATTGAATCATACTTCTTGAATAATATCTTCTAATCCTAACCTCTCCGATTACCTCTAATACCTTTACTACCTCTTCTACTATTGGATTTGAATTGACAATTATATCTCTGTGCTAATGTGGTATGGCAACATGAACTGATGTACTTACGTACGAAGTTCTACGTTGCATTTGAATGACTGACTGACATGAAGTTAAGTCACACAGATACCATTCAGAAAGAAAATCGATGAAATACACAGGTATGATGATACAATGTGTTCAAATTGAAAGCTGCTTACAAGGCCGATTCGTTGACGTGTTTCCTTAGGTATAAAATTTTGCCTACAACAAGCATAAACCTGATTAGAAACAGATGACATTTATACACTATTCATTCTAAAGAAGAATGAATCAGTAACACTGTCAGGATTAATCACTTGTCCAGTTTACTTTCTTATCTACTTTAGTTTACTTATGACTGCTACCCTCGTAGCAGAACATAAACCGTCGACCAGCATCATCCAACCTGTCTGTTGGTTAACAATGAAGTCAGAATTTTTAATATAAACGTCAAGATAGTTGTTTTGTCAGTCAGTCAGTCAGTTACAACGTACATCAGTTCAAGTTTCCATACCACATCAGCACAAACAGAGATGAAATTGTCATTTCAAATCGTATAGTAGTAGAGATAGTAGAAGTATGAGCAGTAATCGAAAATATTAGGGTTAGAAGATTTGATTCAAGAAGTATAATTCAGTAAGATAAATTTAGAAGGAGAAAGATGGAGGTGATGAGGAATTCAGAAGGTTAGAATCTCATAGAACACAAAGAGTGGATGCACCTACGCCATTGAAAACGATTTTGAACCATGTCATTCAAGGTCTCTAACTAGTGGTTACCATTATCTCGCCGACCCAAACCAATTAGTCTGCACCTACCGACACAGCTCAGTCGACTTGTAAGTGACTTCATGAGTTTTTGCTATGTTTTGGTTTGGCCACCTCCACAGCTTTCTTTCAACCTATTATTGCTACACCATAATACATCGCTCGTCGGGGTATTCGGTGGCTAGGCGTACGCAACACATGTCCCAAACACTTCAACTGATAAGGGTTCACTACTTCGTTAACTGATCATTCATTCTTACCTAGTAGTACCTGTTTTCGAACAACAGTATTGCTTACTTGATAGTTCCAGTAACCTACAAATATTCTCTAGCCATGTTTCATAGCCAGATAATATATTCGTAGATTATTGGTTTTCGATCACACATGTCTCCAAAGCATTGTTCACCGCCGTTTGGAGAGAGAGAGAGAGAACGGACTATCGCCCCACTTTCGGATCTACCAGGACATTTGTGAGGTACATCTCGTGAAAAGAATGTGTTTCAAAATTCATTGAAACAAAACAGTCGCCATTATCTGTTCTCTGAGCCACGACACCATAAGATATGATCATGCGGAATTGCGACGAACAAAATTTGAGAGAAAACAAAGAGTGTGAATGCATCTAAGCACATTGCAAATGATTTTGAGCCATCGGTTACAATCGTCTCGCGGACCCCAAACCAGGTGTAGTCTACACTTACCTACCTACACATGGCACAGTTTACTAGTCGATGACTTCATGGATTTGTGATTTGGCCACCACTAGCTTTCTTCTTCCAGTGTACTCTCCTACATCAGAAAACATTGCTCGTCGGGGTATTCGGTGGTTAGGCATACGTACCACATATATCGATCTGTTCAAAACATGAAAACTAACACAAAAGTCAATTAACTGCAAACTTACAATAATCTTCTTCTTCTTCTTCCTCTTCCTCTTCAAAATCACATGGTTCTTCAGATGAATTTGGCAAAACTATTTGAGGTGTTAATTTTTGTTCTTTATTCAATTGTTGTTGATGAGAATGATGGGGACGATGATGATGATGATGAGAATGATGAGTGTAGTGTTCAGTATTCTGTTGTTGTTGCTGATGTTGCTGTTGTTGTTGTAGTTGTCGTCGTTGATAATTTTCTTGTTCTTCATGTAATGCAAACATTTCTTGTGATTCATTGACATAAGAATGTGATGAACGATGAATCATTAAGAGTTGCATGGAATTACTGTCATCATTGTTATCGTCGTCATTATTATGATTATTCTGATTGCCAATTGTATCATTGTCATTTGGAACAGTTCTATCATCATCATCATCATGATCAATAGTATTCACGTTATCGACAACACCATCAACACCATCATCATCGTCTTGCTCATCGCTACGAGTGTTCGATTCCATCTCATCGTCATTGTGTAATGTTTGATGCACAGCATGGTCACCATCGTCGTCGCCGTCGTCATCATCATCATCATCCTCATCCTCATTGTCCACATCACCACCACCACCACCACCACCACGACCACCATCGACACCAACGCCGACACTGTCATCTGCATCACCGGAACTAGAAGCATTTGTGGAGAATTCATCAGTTTTCGCGTACATTTGATGATTTCGATCATTCGATGCCACATTACAACGACGCTTAAAATGAACCAACGAACGAACAAAAGAGAAACAATGTGTACATAGTCTACAAGACTATACATATAGATATGCATTTTAAAGAAGTCAAGCACACACACACACACACCCTATCATTCAATAATATATTGATATATGTATATAGACATAAATATATAAAAATATTATCAACTTTTTTTGACATTTTTTTCCAATAAGAAAAATACGTCAAATGAGGAAGGATGTTTACATTTTCTTAAATGGGACAAGTCGATAGTTATCGATCATAATCAATGTAGAATGCACATACATGCTAAGTTATTTTCTAAATTACAAATTTACATTTTACACCCCCCAGATATGAATGAGTGATATATTGTTTGCATGAGAGTTCATGATACAATTGAAAAACCGTGCAGTGGAATGATTACTAAACTAACCCGTCAAACAGCAGCCATTTCACTGTGTTCGTATATATTTTAATCAGCTTATTGACGTAAGTAATTGACAGTTTGTGGTCCCTATCTAGTGCACGTTTCCTAATGCTATAAGTTCGGAAACCGGTACTAGGTAGCGATGGCAGATCAATTGGTGAAGTAGTGAAACTTCATCAGTTGAGGTGGTTGGGACATGTGTTACGAATGACCTATCACCACCGACTGCCTCGACGAGCTATGCTTTGACATGAAGGAATAGATTGGAAGAAAGCTCGAGGCGGCCAGATTAAAACATGGGACAAATCCATGAAGTCAGCGACAACTGGGCTGAGTCATGTTAGTAAGTACAGATTACCTGGTTGGGGTAGGCGGGACAATAGTAACCGATGATTAGAGACCTGGCACAAAATCGTAAGAAATGACGCAGGTACATTCATTCATTGTATTCTGTCGAATTCTAATCCTCAGAATTTCTCATCATCTCTACCTTTCACTTTCTAAAGTTATCTCACTGAATTATATTTCTCGAATCATATCTTCACTCCCTAATCTTCTCCATAACTGCTAATACTTCTACTATCGCTATCACTCTTGGATTTGAACTGACAGTTGCGTCTCTGTGTTGATGTGGTATGGCAACCTGAACTGATGTACATACGTACGAAGTTCTACGTTTCAACTGACTAACTGACTGTGGTGTAGTGATAAATGCGTTTGTTTTTCTTCACAGCCATAGTCTCAGTAATTTAGCAATCTTGATAGTTGGTCGTTTGCTCTTTGTACAGAAAGCTATGCTTTGAATACATGGACGAGTACAAGTAAATCTCACAGCATGACAGGATTGTTGTACACAATAGGTTGGTGCTACAAATCAAATTCTCTAAATCTGGTCTACAAATAGCAAGTCAAGACTGAAATGGAAATTTTTTTCAGAGAAAGCAGTCTCCCTTGTTTTCAGTTCTTAAAAGTAGTGGGATCGCTAAACCTAACTTTTAAAAATATCATTTTCGTATTCAACAGATGCTGACAAGTTCTAAATACAACGAGACATGCGCCCGGGATTCCACCGGTAGCCATATTCAATTTATTTCATGTAAACTCTTGCCGTAATGGCTATATTAAGGTGATTTGCAAGCTATGCCCATCCATTCGCTAACCAAGATTGATCACATTTCAGTCGCAAATATCAACAATGAGATAATTCGAATCATTTCAAACTGAACAATGAGTTATTCTCGATAAATAAGGCGTTAGCGCACAAAACCCGAAAGTTCTGCGTTTGAATCCTACGAATTGCAACAGTCAGTGAATGCACACTACCGATGATTCCCAGCAATCTCTCTCAGCACTTCCAGGACATTGGATCAGTTCATGACTTCAAAAAGTAACCCAACACACTCCACAACCTTAAAATCATGCAAATAAATCAGCACAACACAACACAGCTGCTACACTTACTCGATTGAAAATTCCCGGTGAATCAATGCTGGATTCCAATTCATCTTGTGTTGTAGCAGATGAACATGTATTCGATGAAGATAATTGACGCGGTAATAATCGATGATCATTTTTCCTATGAACTGATGTCATTAAACGCCAACATTGACTATCAGGAGATGGTTGAAAATTTGGTGATTGATTTTTATTCGATGGAACATTGGTGGTTGTTGTTGTCGGTGGTGGCGCTGGCGGTTGTTCTGATTTACCAGGCCAATTCATGGATTCACACCATTCACGATTCACTGATTTGACGTTGGTAGAAGATGACGGGGAATTCTAAGCATAAAATTGGTCACACAGAGATGAGTTATACTAAGGTTAAGTATGAATCTACAAACTATATGCTTTCATGGTGTACAACTACAGGTTATTTTTTCTCTGTTAACTCGGTTTAGACTCTCTAACTAAGACTACTACTTTCATCCAGTTGATTATATGGGGCTGACAAACATGGCCAATCAGAGTAGATATTAGTAGGTAACTACTGGTTTTCGATCATAGATGTCTTCGAAGCATTGCTCGGGTATCATCGAGCAACCGAGCAAGCAATACTGTTGTTAGGAAACAGGTGCTAGGTAAGGATGGCAGATCAATAGATGAAGTAGTGAAACTTTATCAGCTGAGGTGGTTAAGACATGTGCTGCGTATGCCTAACCACCGACTGCCTCGACCAGTTATGTTTTGTAGTGTAGGAATAGGTTGGAAGAAAGTTAAGGGCGGCCAAACCGAAACATGGCAAAATCCATGAAGTCACTGACAAGTGGACTGAGTCATGTTGGTAGATGGAGGCTGCCTAGTTGGGGTCCGCGAGACGAAAGTCAGCGATTGTTAGAGACCTTGAATGTCATGGCTCAAAGCCGTTTGTAATGGCGCAGATTAATTCATTCTTTGTGTTCTCTGAATTCCGCATCACCTTTATCTGTTTCATCTTATGTTTCTTTCACTAGATTCTACTTTTTGAATAATATCGTCGAACCATAAATCTCTCCGATTACTACTAATCCTCCTACTACCTCTAACTACAATGGGATTTGAATTGACAATTTCATCTCTCTGTGCTAATTTGGTATGGCAACTTGAAATGATGTTGACTGACTGACTATCGTCAAATTATTGGTTTCGTTGTTCCGTACTCTCTGTTTCCACTTTCTTTTCTCTTGTTGTAAATGTCGGTAATCATTGCGTTACAGCAGCACTGCAAAACAACACTAAACACACTATCCTCACATCAACAGGAGGATGATTAGTCAAAAAGAATTTAATATTTCCTGACTGACACTTTGCATTGCTGTTAAGTAATAAATATAAAGAATAAACTGCCGGTGCCAATTTTCAGTTTAGAACACTACAAACAATATAACATTATGGCATAACTACTATCCTCAACATTAAACATTTATTCTGATATCAAGTTGACAATGCTTGTTAACTAACTGGCATGAATTGGTGTCACTATTATTTTCAGCACAAAATATTAATATTTATTGTCCCGTATTTTCATGCATTGTTTTCTAAACCTGAAACCATTAGATGGCCGTTTTTCATCCTGGACTCATCAAGAGTGCACATCTACAACACTGCACGCATCAATCCGACTTCGGACCTTCGATCATGTGTACGAAAACGCTTAGCCTCTTGACTACTACTGAGCCGGAATCCAGCGATATTCACGTCTGACATCAATCAGTCCACTTAATGTCTTTAGTAGGTACCTGCCTCACACCAGACTCACTTCTCACTACAATTCCGAGAATGTCGTGACGAAACTAGTCACTAGTGAGCACACGGTCATTAACAGTATGAACATTGTGGAGATTGTTGACTTTCAGTCAAACTATAAATCGATCAGTGTCAGAACAAAGTTCTTGGACTCCGTTCTCATATACAATCATATCATGAATGAGTACTACTGATGAATCCGACACTAGGACATAACCGCCATCTGGTACTCTTGTTCAAACATTGATCGATTCAAGATTTCAAAAAGTAACCCAACAATCAATCAATCAAACACTTGCTTTGGTTTATCCAAAATTCTTTTTTCAATCAAAGAAAATTAACTGACTAATAAGACAAATTGAAAATTTAATATATATATATATATATATATATATATATATATATATATATATATATATATATATATATATATATACATATATATATATATATATTGAATAATTTTACCCAAGAATTTTTCATTTCACGATTATTTGTTGACAATTTCTTAGAATTCATTGTATCGAATTCCAATGTGTGTTGCTGCTGTTGATGTTGTGGCTTTGTTTCAGATAAAAAATAATTTTGTGCATTCGATGAATTGATGAACAAATTAGAAGTTGAATCATTTTCTAATATGAGATAACTTGAATTGGTCGATGTTTCACGTCGATTTGAACTTGGCGGACTATTTGTAGTGGAATTAACAACAACAGAGCTGGCGAAACCCGGTGCCAATAAACGTGACAACAATGGTGTACTTCGAGGATCTGGAGTAGTAGTAGTAGGAGGAGGAGTAGGAGTAGAAGTAGTCTGACATAAACCAGGAATTTTATTTTTATGCATTTTTATTGATTTTTTTTCATCAGTACTACTACTACTACCACCGCTAGTAGTAGTCGTTGTTGTTGTTGGAGTATCATTCAATGATTGAATAGAATGATCTACAAGTGGAAAAGATTTCTCCTCATTGGTTACATTATTGTTAGCAGATGTAATAATTTGTGCTTTTCTCAAATTTTGACGATCCGATGATCCATCTAATATGGAGAAATACAAACAAACATGTCATAAAAGAGAATTTTAAAACTCTGCAAGAATATATATTGATCGGACAATAATTGAATTCATTCTATGTTACATGGTTTCTTGTCAACTGACTAAAATCTATAAACATAATAATACTTAAGTATATAAAACTAAAAACCAAAGCAGTGTACCAACAACGTACATGTGAGTGTGCTAGCTTAAAGCCAATCTAGTTGCGGTTGGCGAGATGATACGAACCGATGGTTAGGGACCTACCTAGTGAATGGCATGGCTCCAAAATCGTTTGTTCTCTTAAATTCTAATGTTCGGAATTCTTCATCACCTTGATCTTTCTCCTCCTTTTAAATTTATTTCACTGAATTATACTACTTGAATAATATTTTCAAACTTTAATCTTTTTGATTACCACTAATACTTCTACTAATTCTATCATTATGAGATTTGAATTGACAATTGCATCTCTGGTTGTGCTAATGTGGTATGGTAACTTGAACTGATGTACGCACGTACGAAGTCCCAGATTTAAAAAAAAAGTTAAAATCATAAGTTTCCTGTAAGGTTCCTTAGATTGAACTGTGCTACTTGGAGTGCAAAATGCTTCTAAGGACTGAAGGACCATAGAGCTTTATAGACAGGATGTGATTGTGATCGATTTGGTCTCGTGTGGTTTTATGGGTATGAGGGCGGATGCTACTTCCCGGCTGCCCACACCGTAGAAGGGTTCTGGTTGTCAGACAGGACATCGACCTCATGACTTCCGAAGGAACTCGACCTTCATCACATAAGACGTCATAATTCTTCTAAATGAAGACCTTCTAACTCTCAGAGCAGAGTTTATATGGTTTGAATTACTTTTACTTGTTAACGTTTTTTTAACGAGTTCGTTTTTTGCAGGACGGGGTAGTCAACCCCAATCCAAACCCTCCTCCTTTATCCGGGCTTGGGACCGGCAGTAGCCGCGAAGGGTCTACAGGCAGATGTATTTACGTACGAAGTTCCACGTTGCTGTTGATTGACTGAGAGTTCATATTAGCAAAAGCAACTGTATTTAGCGAGTTTTGCAAAACTTTTCAGTGCATTTACACTACCAACAGAAACAGGTTTTGGTTTAATCAATTGTAAGGAAGAACCAAGTAAAACATTGAAAAATTAAAACTCATTTGATCAAATATTTCATTGTTTTTTTAATTATTTGAAGATAAAGAAACTTGATTGACAAGGTAAAAGTTTGAATTAATGAACACATATTATAAAATATGTAATATCAGATAACTTGTATTCACAGCCTGTAGAAAATATTTTAAGGAGCGATTGTCTACAGTAGACAGTAGACAGAGAAAACACAAACAACAGTAATGAAATATTACAAGAAACTAATGAATTAGATAGAGTGCGAAAAGTTTTGCCGATCCATTCGAACACATGAATTAACTAGTAAGCCATGAATAGATATGTGTGCATTGTTAGATGTATAAGGGTGGTTGTCACTTCCCAGCTGTCCACAGCATGGAAGTATATTTCTTATTAGGGGACCTTAAGAGGAAGCTAGGCTAGTGCTGGAAACGTGACCGCAGAGATCTAGGGACAACGAATTGAGGCCGGTCACGCACGGCCTTTTTATGGGAAGTTTTCAACGTGTTAGCTCCGCTCTTCCAAAGGCCTTACCGCCAGAAACAGAAATCTGTGGGATAAGGTGAGGTGTGACATTTTTAGGGTCGGCATTTTCTCATACCTTCTTTCCATTGCGAGAAGGCAGTATCGCTGCAGATGCTGGCTGTCTAGAAAGAACATCTAAATGCTGTCGCATCCCTCTACAGTCAGCAATACGAATCCATCCTGAGACCTTAAGTTGTTGCTTTTAGTCTTACTGTTATCTGATCAACCTGCCTGGGATGGTAGGACCTAAAAGAACATATGTCCCAGACAATATAGCTTAGTTAGGTCATCAGGATAGGCGAACCCGACTACCACGTCAAAGTAGCAACTACATTCCACTCAATCGATTGTTAGGCACGGTTACACAGTGTACAAAGAAAACTCACCCTTAATAGCGTTAAATTAAAATAGGTTAGATGGAAAACAAACTTGGCTGCGTTATACTAAACACTCCATAAGATGAAATTATTGTTCAGAACATAGAATCATGATGAGACCAAAACATAAAAATTACCAATTTTATATATGATAAACATACAAATAGTTGAAGTTGTGATAGGATATCCACCAAATGTCCTAAGAGTACTATTTTTAGAAGTATAATCCTATTGGTCGGTTTCTATTGGTCAAAATTATGATCGTTTTAACTGTCAAAGTCAAATAATTCAATGTTGTCTCTTATTGGTCATCCGGACTGTCAATGTCATTTCAAATGTTCTTTCCTATTGGTCGTCCTAAACTGTCAATGTCACAGACTACGATGCTCTTTCCTATTCGACCTTAATGTATAAATACGCACTATCTGTAAGACTCCATGATTCCGATTCCGTTTCTTCCTGCCTACCTCTCTTCTGTACTCGACCCAATAAACAACTCCATCCAACGGTGTTGCGTTCTGATATATAGGAGATTTGGAAATAGCATTTTGGGTCGTATTGGAATATTTGAATTGGACGCCGCTAGGACTGAATAGCTATACGTAGCAGTAGTATAAGAAGTTGTCGCGAAAACGAGAAACACCCAATGACTAGGTTTACTTTTGTACTCAAATCCTTTTGAATTTGAATGTAAGACTCCAATCCCTTAAAAATCCAACTCGCTTTATAAAAAACGCGGTCTATGCTCCATTAGGGGTAACACGCGTAAGTAAATAAGTAAGTAAGACCGTCAAAATCGACTAAGTGATATATTAAAATTACAGAATTTCAACAGAGTTATTCAACTTTACTAGTCAATCACGTTGCTGTACATTATTTTTAGTGTTTACCGACCGAAGCTGCTACCTTGACGTGGTGGTCGGGCTTGCCTATCGTGATGACCCAACCGAGCTATACTGGCTGGAACATATGTTCCTGCAGGTCCTACCATGCCAGGCTGGTCGATTGGAGAACGATGAGACTAAAAGCAGCTACCCAAGGTCTGAGGGGGAAGTCGTACTGCTGACTGCAGAGGGGTGTGACAGCAGTAAGGTGTTTCCCTCGGATAACCAGCATCTGCAGCGATGCTGCCTTCTCACAAGGAAGGAAGGGTTAGAAAAGGTCGGCCCTAAAAATGTCACACTCCCCCTAACTCACGGATTTCCGTCTCCTTGGGTAAGGGTGCCCACTAAGGGCCTTTAAGAACGGAGCTAATTCTCAAAATACCTTTCATAAAAAGGCCGTGCGTGACCGGCCTCAAGCAGTTGTCCCTTGGGCTCTGCGGTCACGCACCAACACTAATCCATCTTCCTTTTCAGGTCCCTCAAGAAACAACCTTCCACGGTGTGGGCAGCCGGGAAGTGACAACCGCCCTCATACCCATAACAGCACGCGAGACCAAATTGGTCAAAATCAAATCCTTCCTACACCCCCTAATGTCTCTTTTATCTCTACAACTAACTCTACTCACACTCCCTTTTCTCACTGCACCGCTAATGCAGACGAAGCGAGATCACGAAAGGTCGTTCCTGGTCTCTTGAAACCCCGTTCTAGACTACATATTGGAGCTTTTAATGTACGGACATTGTGTCAAATAGGGCAACAGGCATCATTAGCTAGGACTTTAGAAACTCGTGCCATCGATGTATGCTGCGTCTCGGAAACGCGCATACAGGATCCTAGTAAAGTCATTAACCTGATTCCACCTTGTCAAAACGAAGAAGCAGCTCGATTTACTCTTCGGGTATCCGGTAGCCCTGATGCTGCTTCCAGGGGTCTTGCTGGTGTAGGCATAGCGTTGAGTCCTAGGGCAGAATTATCTCTCCTAGACTGGATCCCAGTAGATATTCGTTTGTGCGCTGTCCGACTAAACGGGACAGTAAGGACTCGTAAGGATAGGGACACTCGCCGTTGCCTCTTCGTCATATCTGCCTATGCCCCCACTGACTGCAGTGCAGACGAGGTTAAAGATGAGTTTTACAGAAAGCTTTCGGACCTCCTCCAAAAAGCTAAGCGCTCTGACATAGTAATAATGGCTGGTGACTTTAATGCTCAAGTAGGTAGACTAGGTGAAAAGGAAAGACATCTGGGTGGATGTTATGGTGTAGCGACTGAGAGAACAGACAATGGTGACCGTCTGTTGCAACTGTGCTCAGATAACCGCCTATTCTTAGCGAACACCAACTTTAGGCATAAGGAAAAGCATCTGTTGACCTGGCGACCTCCAAAGTCGTCTCAACGTTGGACTCAACTAGATCACATTGCCATCAGCCACCGATGGAGGGGTTCGATAGAAGACTGTCGCTCGTTCTGGAGCACATGTTTAGATTCAGATCATGCTCTAGTGCGAGCTCGTATCTGTTTAAGGCTTACTGGACGTAGGAAAGACACCGTAAGAAAGCCTCTTAGGGTTTTACTTAATGATAATCAAACCAAGAAAATATTTCAGGAGCAACTAGAAAGAGAGTTAAGCAACCATGCAAGCGATTCCCATCCAGAAGCAGGTTGGTATGATATCAAAAAGGCTGTGGAAACAGCAGTGATATCTGCTAGGAAGGTAAACCATGAGGCTAGGATGAAGCCGTGGATTTCAGTCGCATCCACCGAACTGATGGATGCTCGAAAACGCATCCCACCTGACTCTGAGCATGATGAAGAGCGTAGTCAGCTTAGGCGCAGACTCATAAAAAGTCTGCGTAGCGACCGCGAACAGTGGTGGGTGGCGAAAGCAAAAGCGATGGAAAAGGCAGCGGCGATAGGCAACACTAGACAACTTTTCCGCCTTATCAAAGAAACCGGTATTAAGAACCCGAATGTGAGTGAGACTATCTCGGAAAAGGATGGTCTTATTATCCATTCTCAATCCAGGAGGCTGGATCGATGGGCAGAACACTTTAGGGATCAGTTCAACTGGCCACGAGCCACTCTTCAGTTACCCACGATCTCCAGTCATCCTGAATGGCAAATCGACGTAAGTCCCCCTAGTCTTTATGACGTTGAGAAAGCGTTAGGAAATCTGAAACGAGGACGAGCTGCAGGTCCTGATAGACTGACCCCTGAGATATTCAGGGATGGTGGTCCAGTTTTAGCAGCTAGATTGACTGAGATCTTAGGTAAAATCTGGGAACTGGACGTAATCCCATCCGACTGGTCTCAATCCTTGATTGTCCCAATCTATAAGAAAGGACAAAAGTCTTCTTGTGACAATCACAGAGGAATAAGTCTAACTAATATAGTATCTAAAATACTGGCCTCAATAATACTTCGACGCTTAACGAAAGCTCGTGAAGAGCAGACTCGAGAAAACCAGGCTGGTTTTCGACCTGGACGTGGCTGTATAGACCACGTCTTCACACTCAGACAGGTCCTGGAACATAGACACACATTTAGGCGTCCTACAATAGTTGTTTTCCTAGACATTAAGGCGGCATTTGACTCTGTGGATCGTGAGGTTCTGTGGCAGTGTCTGTCATTGAGAGGTGTACCACAGAAGTACATTAACCTTATACAAGCTCTTTACTCGAACACCACTGGTCGGGTGAGGGCTTATGGCGAACTGTCACCGGAATTCTCTACATCAAGTGGTGTCCGTCAGGGATGTCCACTTTCTCTATTCTTGTTTAATTTTATCATAGACATGCTCCTAGACACAACATTATCCTCGTCTGAATTTTCAGGAGTAGACCTTCTTCCAGGTGGCTCGCTTATTGACTTAGAATATGCCGATGACATTGTCCTACTTGGTGAAGACGCTGACAAAATGCAGAGTCTTCTGACTACCCTAAGCAACAATGCAAGCATGTTCGGGATGCGGTTTTCCCCGTCGAAATGCAAAATGTTGCTTCAAGACTGGGTTGCATTGGCACCTGAACTAGTGATAGGGAGTGAAGTGGTTGGACGTGTAGACCGCTTCACTTATCTTGGGAGTCTCATCAGTGCCGATGGCCTGGTGACTGACGAAATCTCAGCACGGATACAGAAGGCTCGATTGGCTTTTGCCAACCTGCGTCACTTATGGCGTAGGCGAGATATCCGTTTGCTGACTAAAGGACGAGTGTACTGTGCAGTAGTTCGCTCCGTCTTACTTTATGGCTGTGAAACATGGCCAGTGAGAGTAGAAGATATTCGTAGGTTACTGGTTTTCGATCATAGGTGTCTTCGAAGCATTGCTCGTATATCGTGGGACACCCGAGTGAGCAACGCTGTTATTAGGAATCGGGTGCTAGGTAAGAATGGCAGATCAATCGATGAAGTATTGAAACTTCACCAGTTGAGGTGGTTGGGACATGTGTTGCGTATGCCCAACCACCGACTGCCTCGAAGAGCTTTGTTTTGTAGTGTAGGAGTAGTTTGGAAGAAAGTTAGGGGCGGCCAAACCAAAACATGGCAGAAATCCATGAAGTCATTGACTAGTGGACTTAGCCATGTCGGTAATTGTCGACTACGTGGTTGGGGTCCGCGAGATGATAATAATCGATGGTTAGAGACCTTGAATGACATGGCTCAAAATCGTTCGCAATGGCGCCAGTGCATTTATTCTCTGTGTTCTCTCAAATGCTAATCTTCTGGATTCTTCAACACCTCTAGTTTCGACTCTCTAAACTTTTCTCACTGAATCATACTTCTTGAGTAGTATCTTCTAATCCTAACCCCTCCGATTATTTCTAATTCCCTTACTACCTCTTCTACTATTGGATTTGAATTGACGATTACTTCTCTGTGCTGATGTGGTATGGCAACATGAACTGATGTACTTATGTACAAAGTTCTACGTTGCATCTGACTGACTGACTGAGTGTTTACTGAACTAGTGTGAATCTGTGGGGAGAAAAAAATTTCCAAAACAGAGTGAAACACCATATTACGGTTAAACAAAGATAGATTAATGATAGAATCATTTAAAGGCGCTGCACGTTTGAAACAGACTTTAACATGAATCCGTTTAAATAGCTGTGTTAATCTCCAGTCAACCTACATTAGAATGCAACTTTAAATCGAATACACGAAATTGAGTTCGGTTAGTATTTAGAGTTAGAGTTTATTAAAACAAACATGTCGATGAACGAAAAATAAAACTAAAAGCCGATAAATGTGAGAATTAGAGACATTGTATACACACACACACACACACACACACACACACACACTGTAACTAATCAATAACCATAAGTACAAGAATTTTATCATGATAAAATGGATTGATATTGTATAACAACAAATCAAATACAAACAGACAACAACGATAACGGACACACAAAAAAAGGTAACCCAGTTCGTTGTAGTACACAAGTGTAGAAAACCGATGGTAAAACGAAACACAACACAAACGATTTAACAACGGATAACATAATCACTCACTTCATCGAAAAACACTGTAATAATAATAATAATAATAATAATACTAATAATAATAATAATAGATAACAATAATAATAATGACAGTAATTTAAGGAAACTAAGCATAAATTCACTCACAATTCAAGATTAAAACATTGTAGAAATGATGAATAGAGACTGGAAACGATTTGATAAATAGTTGCATTACAATAAGTTATGAAACAATTCTAAAAATTTGTCATACAATTGGATAGATTTGTTTTTACTAGAAATTTTTAATCGAATTTCGTAATTTCTCATTTTCTTTTCAAATTTGTATTTTTAAGTTTGATCTTCTCTATTATTAATCATACAATTATTGTACGGACTCTTAGTATAACATATTATCAAATGGTTTTGGCTACTGTACTACCATGATATGGTAAAAGTTGAACCGACGGTGGAAGGAGTCCACTCTTTCACTGCTATAGAAGTCCTACTAACTGCCCTCTCGCAATACGGGTGCAGTGATTAGGGAGGAGGGGAAAATAAGCTGAAAAGCCAATGTTCCGCAACTAAGCCAGGTTGGTGGTTACGGAGGATTCGCCCGAGGGGGTTTGGAAAATTCTGATCTTAAAGCAATGCTGCGCATCTACTCCAAGATCCTGGAGGAACGAATAGCGTATTAGTTGATAGTTGGTCATCCGCTACCATGGAAATGCATCTCCTAACATCACTTTATTACTTTAGAGATTAGACCTCTGGGTTAGTATTCGATTGTAGATGTCTTCGAAGCATTGCTTGTACATCCTGGTACAGCTGAGTAAGTAATACTGTACTTAGGAAACGAGTACTAGGAAGAGATGGCAGATCAGTTGATGAAGTAGTGAAACTTCATCAGTTGAGGTGGTTGGGACATGTGTCACGTATGCCGAACCAACCACTGACTGCCTCGACGAGCTATGTTTTTTGGTGTAGGAGTAGGTTGGAAGAAAGTTAGGGGCGGCCAAAGTCACTGACAAGTGGACTGAGTTATGTTGGTAGATGTAGGCTACCTAGTTGGGGCCCGCGATATGATAATAATTGATGATTAGAGACCTTTAAGGACATGGCTCAAAATCGTTTGCAATGGCGCAGGTGCACTCATTCTTTGTCTTCCCTTAAATTCTTATCTAAGTTCCGCATGAATGTTTCTTCTCCTGTTAAAACGATTTCACTGGGACATACTTGTCGAATTATATCTCCGATCGCTAATCTTCTTCATTATTGCTAATGCCTCTTCTGCCCCTACTACTATGGACATTGAATTAACAATTCCATATGCATGTGCTAATGTGGTACGACAACTTGAACTGATGTACGTACGTACCTACGAAGTCCTACGTTATAGCTGATTAACTGACTGAACTTCATTTAAAGTGCTTAGTCACTAGTGATAATTCAGCAAGATGACATCAGTTAATTGAAGGTTGGCTAATGAAGGCAATATAATCCTGGAAATGACAATTTAAATTTCGAACAGTTCAGACGTAAAGTTCATATTACAGCAGTAGGTGGGGGGAGGTTCAGTGTACACAATATATTCTGAGATCACAAATCATGTGGATATATTCCGCAACAAATTTTTTGCAACCAAAATTTATTTTGAGTAAATCATACAAATAAAGATAGACTTACATGCGACAGGTTGTAAAACACGATCATGTGAGCCAATCTCACGTTTTAGGGGAATTCCTCTTGGTCGTAAAGAAGAAGTCCTTGGTGGAGATTTTGGTGTTTGCTCAGTGGGAGTACCACTTATCATATATCCAGTATGTGGGGAGAATCCATCATTTTTCAGTGGATATCGAGGTGGAGGCGGAGGAGGTGGTGGTAAGTTAGTTGATTCGACAGGATATGCATGTTTTTTGGGGCTCATATTATGCGATGAATGCCTTGAAGAATCAATACCAAGAAGTGGACGAATGTGACGGGATGATATACTGCCTTCATTAGATTGCATAGTAAATAAGTTCTATGTAGTTTTTAGATGAATCCATGCCTTTACTAAATACTGAGTATCTACAATTGGAAGAGCAAATTAAATTACAACGTAAAATACAAGTTTAAAATATTGTCTTAGTGAGAAGATATGTAAAAATATAATGTACACCATCTCAAAACCTTGAGGAGCCTACCAGCCAGTCAGGAAGTGCTAGCTAACTATAAAATAATTAACAGCTAAAAGCTATAAAGGATCAGTGGAATAAAAACTTCGATATGATTAACAATCAACCTTTACATATGGAATTATTTCTTGTAAGTGAAGAGAGGGCGAAGACCATCTATTTAAAGCAGAGTTAGTGTTATGAGTTAGGTTCATCATCCCATAGATTTTTCACCACAAACTGGTACCAGCTATAATGAAAAAAGGTTAGAGTTAAATAATAAACGTTTAACTAGTTCGGACAAATCCTGTTCAGAATTTTTAATCACGGAATGATAACCGCCATGATGTATTACCTTGTCATCCTTCTGTCTACAGTTTTCAATCATTTTAAGGACCGAATACCAACAAAATTTTCCTCATCAATAATGATATACAAGCTGTATGTACAAACTGTATGACTGAAACCAGTTATATCATATGACTGGGAAGGTATCAAAAAGTTGACTTAACTCGGTGACTGTTAGACAGACATTTTAAATACAGAATGAAAAGAGTTCGGAAAGGTGAGCAACTGTCGAAGGAGTTTAACCGATAAGTAATTTCAGGCTAAAATTGATAAACAAAATAATCGCAGAGGGAAGTCTTGAGGTACAACAACAACAACAAACCAACTTTAAAGACGTATTCAAGTCGTATTAAGGACAAAACTGATGGAGAAAAGGCATGTATAGTTCACTCTGTATAAAATGGCAGCCACTAGAAACGAAGATTGATTGAGATTATTAACACTGCCAGTAAGGAAACTAGCTAGATCTCGTAAAACGAAGAGTGAATATAGAGCGAAACCCAGATTAATGAAGGTTGAGAATTGAATATTTTAGTCCACAGGGAACTCGGAAAAAGCCTCATAACATTAACAAGCAACTTATAAGCATATCACTCCAAAATCAAACTAAGTCACAATATTTAATGTAAAGAAAGTGGATAAAATTCATGATGGTAGGCGCACTGTTCTAGAACTCCTGTTATCAATTTAGACATATATTTCATTATTATTACCTCAGAATCATTCTCTGCCAACAGATTTCCTGTATACTGAAGAGGGAGTAGATTACCTCCGTACGCAAACTAGTGAAATACCGTACATAACAACCATACCATCTTAAACAACCAGACGGTGTAGCGTAAAGTACCTAGAAACGCCTTTTCAATATCCAATATCCAAAGTTCAGTTGGTTGTGAAAGGAATAGAATACGTTTTCACCTAAAAGGCTTACGCATATGGTAACAGTTTACTAGCTGTGTAAATGCAACCAAGTTACTCAGTTATTTAAATTTTGAACAGTTCCAAAGAAAGTGGGTCAAAGATTTTTTGGTTGGTCGAAGACAGAAGTTAGGACTGATTTCTAAATCCTCTTCCCATCAACAATTACTTAGTGAGATTTGGCAAAGATTTATTCCTTGTTCTCCACTTTGGCTTCGAAAAAGTCTATGATGAATAAAATCTGAAAGCTATTATGAAAACCATTGTCCATGGTCAGTCAAATAAACTTCATTTAGAAAAGTCCGTGAGACCCGAATAAATACACCAGAAGGTATTCAAGAAACCAAAAAAAATTCATCGTGAATCCCTTATACAAATACCTTATTCAATCCGTAACTAGAGGTGCATTACCAAAAGAATGGAAGAACGCGATGGAAAGTCCTGCTGTCGGGAAAGCAAGAGGCACCAACCTGAGAAGTATCGACGCATAAACCTAACTAGCGCGGTTATAACAAATGTAGAAAAGACTTTTCAGAAAGAGATGTTTCGGTGTTAAGACGAAAACGGAACATGGCCTAAAAACAGGCTATTCATCTATCACAAATTTACAAGTAGCTCGTGAAACTCTGTGAGCTCTTAAAGATCGAAAGCTACGTAAAGAAGCAGTCTTTAAAAGAGGATTTGACAAATTACCTCAAAACCGGCTACTATTCAAATGATATGATAACTAAGGACAATTTACTGATCTAAACTAAGGCTTTCCTGAGCGAAATTACTGAAGTGTACTAAGGACTTACAAGTCAGACACCAACAAATAGCGCAGGTGATACTCCATGTTATCTAGCTGAGAAACTGTGTTTAGCTGGGGTGATGGTAAACTGGAGTTAGCTTGGTGTCTCTAAAAACAGGAAGAATAGCCAAGTGAAGAAAGGGAATGAGAAAAAATAGCGTTGAAAATTCATGAGTAAGGCGAAAAATAGATAAGAAAGCCAGGTGTTCAGATGTTAATGAGTTAATAATAATAATAATATAATATATATTTCTTCTCAAATAACTACGTTACAAGAGTCACGCCAGTTTACAGGCTAGATCAAATTGTCACAAATGCTTCCACAATTACCGCAAAAGTTATAGCAGTTAAATTAAGTATAAGAGCCAGTTTCTGATAGCACATTTACACCATGTCACTGACAGAAACAGTATAATACAGCCACATTTTCAATAGGAGAATACAAATAAGGAAGGTGCACAATAGGTCCTTTTGGCGATTTGCCGAGACCAATAGTGAATTTGTTGGGAAACGTCAATTGGAACGCGCCTGATACGAGCTGTGGTCCAGACAGTCATGTACATAGGGTGCATGTTCCCTAGAGTCGCCAAGGATTTCCCACCGTGAATGGGGTTCTGAAAAGGAGAAGAGAGAGAGAGAGAGAAAAAGGCAGCAGTGTGGCAAGTGTATGTATATAACCAAAGCACTACTTAACCTGTCATCTTGAAGTAGTCAATACAGTAGTAAGTCAAGATAACATTCATACTGAACACTTAAATTAAAGTAAATTATGGGAATATAAGAATATAACCCAGGAAATTAAAATTTATTAAACTGTTAATACTTAGAACGAACTCACAATGATACAGGAAGTTTGAGTTCCTTGTAATTTACGGTAGTTGAGCAGCATCTAGAAGCTTTTCAATTTATCTGTCTTCTAGAAATATAAATAAAAAGTGCTATGAAAGAAAAGAAGATAATGATTCGAATTTAAATAATAGGGAAACTCCATTTTTAAAGGATTGACCAATCATAGTTAGTAGGAGCAGGAGGATTTGTCGATCATTTCTTGATACGTGTATGGATGGTAATATGTTCATAGTCTATAATTCGTTTCTGAGGTTTATCTAAATATTTGGTGGACCATAAAATAGTGCCTGAGGATTTAGTGTGAGCTCCGAGAATAGTCGATAAATCTCTTTAGAGTCTAGCCACAGCATGACTAGTTTCTTGAACTTAGTGAACTTTGAAAGTGGTAACTTTTTTTCACGTGGTATAGTGTTTTTCGGAAATTTATCATTCGTGGGGTATTATACTGATTTAGTAGAATTTATCTATTGTACCCAGTGCACTTTGCTTCTTGAAAGCAAACCCTCTAAGTTTTTAATCTGTTAATACATACTTGTCGTTTGATAACGTTTTTAACATCTCAATACACTAGTTTAAGCCTACGTATTGACTTACAGTGACTCTTTTCAAATTCGGCTGCTGCAACGACGCCGAACAATTTATCCGTTTGAGCAAAAATATTAGCTCATCAACCTTATACAAAGAAGTAAAGGTTACCCCGGATCTAACGCCTTGTCAACGTCGTGTAAAAACAAGGGAGGCGACTAGATAACATAACGGTGTTACAGCAGACAATCTACAAAAAATAATCCCCAGTGTCATGAATGCGGATAAACCAATAAACCATTCTGTAGATCTTGATGAGCCTGTGGACTGTAAACCCTCTAACAAAGTACGGATCCCCTCTGTCACCGAGAAATCGAACGACCCTTGCAGTCCTAATCCCAGCTTTTCGAACGTTAACTTGACTGAATATGTCCCATGAAACAACACAGTTCCAGCTAAAACTAATAAATTTAAGAATCGATCCCCAAAATATATTGCACGAGAGTACACGATAGAAACTGACGTTTTTTTCCGAAAAATACATCCAGGGGACCAAAACATTCTCCGTCTTTAACTGAGAGGAGTGAACTGATTAAATCTTGGGTCTCAAGTAAAAAAAGTAGGTAGGATTCAAACCCGCTAGCCTGCGACTTCCCCAGCTGCGATGAACAGGTTCACTCATTTAATGTCATGTGATGTGTTCCTAGCCTCTCCAAGTTGTAAGACTGATAATATTAAGAACATGTCAGACCAACATCTGATCATGAGCACAAATAATTATTATCCAAGAGCTAGGTGCACTGCCCAACCACCTAATCCTAGAATTATTAGTGAAAGTGGAAATGGGAGATTTTTCACCCCAAACACTACCCTAAATACCCGGGATTTTATTCGCAAAAACGCTGTGAATGAAAACTATGCATCCTGCTCTACCAAGCCAGCTGGTAAACATGACCCCCAAATTTAGAAAAGGCCATAACAACTGGCACTCGTATATGGCACACCTTCCCCAAGTTAAAACCATTCCGTCTAAATTTAACCTTAGTAACGAGCTGTGTCATCAAGACATTATTAGAAACGTTGGTGAACTGCAATGCCAGCCGAATCAAAATTTTTTCGGGATACAGCCACTTGTGGTACCTCTTGTGCGAAATATTGCTCAAGTCATTTCATACCACATACAGAATATAAAAGCACTCTCCTCGCACAATCTCAAACAGACAACATTCTCCCCATTTCCCCAGGGCTAACAACCCCTCCTGTAAATTTCAGTAATTTACTTAACATGTCCCCCCCCTAACTCCTCATACCACACTCACGTAGGTCATAGTAACTCCTTTACTCAAGAAACCCAAGCTATTTTAGATCAGCGGGACATTTGTTGAATATATGTCTTATTAATGCTCGTTCAATCTGTAATAAAAAGACAGATCTACTCATGTTTGCTACTATCTGCCAACCATCACTTATTATGATAACTGAGGCATGGACCTGTAGTAATATTTCTGATCTTACTATATCTCTTGAAAACTATGATCCGTTTTGAAGTGATAGGTTACAAGGAAGAGGTGGAGGATGCCTTATATATGCCCACTCTAGCCTAAACTCATTCTCATGTGATATATCGGAATTAAACAGATTGCCAGACTGTGTGTGGATCGTTCTGAAACCCTCAAATGCAGTTTCCTTACTGTTCGGCTGTGTCTACCGTCAGCCTAATGCACCAACAGGAGATCTAGCATTATTGTCAGAAGTATTTACGTTTGTTTCATCCATACCGTTCACAAGCAAGGCTATTTGTGGGGACTTCAACATGCCTGAAATCTCTTGGTTCCCAATCAAAGCACCTAGACGATTCGAATCATTTATTAAATGCTTAGAGCTAGGAGAGTGGACTCAGCATGTTAACGCCCCAACCAGAAATCAAAATACATTGGATTTAGTTTTCACCAGCAATCTCATTCCTCACACTGTATATGTTGGAAAAAAGTTCCCAGGTAGCGATCATAATATAGTCATATGCAGCCTTGATATAGGAGCTACAACTATAAAATATAAATCCACTACACTTCGTAGGGACTTTCGTGGGATTGATTGGTCAAACTTCCGTAACTGCCTCAGAAGCATTGACTGGACTAACTACTTTACCGCACACAATATCGAAGAACTAATGAATGTATTTTATAACAGCACAGATAGCATTTTCAATAAACTTGCACCCTTAAAATCCTGGAGACCCAGAATTCCTGAGAACTTGTATATGCCAGGTCATATACAAAAACGTCTTCGAAAACATGTTTCCAGACTTCATAACTTTAATGACTTCTTCTCATTAGTAACGATGACTGAAATATGTGTCGAGGCAGAAATGACACGTACTAAAAAGGCAATCGCACAGGAAAAGCGTGCTGTTCAGCTGAACAGTGAATCCCCTGAACTTATAAAACTCCTTCGGAATAAACTCAAATGCTCGAAAGTGAAAAGAGGGATCATATTTATTAAGGACAATCAAGTGTATGAAGACCCTAAAAGTATCGCAGAGTTGTTTAGCGAACATTTTTGTGCCACATTAACAAACGAAAACTCAACAAATGAGTCACACCTGACCCAAACTCCTTCCTGTAAAATCGCCAGTGTTGAATTTATAAGGCGATTGGTACACTGAAGCGCTCTTACATTGAAGGACCAGATGGTATCCCAGCCAACATGCCGAAAGATGGGAGCAATGATCTGTGTGCTA